CGGAAACGTCCTGAGTGGCGGGGGTAGGGAGCCGCGCCTGTGCCGCTGCCGGAAGTGACGCAGTCCCACGTTCCATGCAGTTCCTGGTGTGGAGCTGCTCCCTGTGCAAATGGGCCCCGGCCCCCCCCGGAGCTGCTCGGTTTCGTCTCTGCGCCCTGCGCACGTGCGGTCCCGGGGCAGGGCCCCGCACACAGGTTCTCCCCGGGAGCCCTGTCCCCTGAGGGAGGCTCGGGGCCTGGTGGCTTTTAGGTTTTCTGCCCTCGCTGCGGGGGCGACGGCTCCAGGGGAGGGTGCTGGTGCCTGTCGGCTCTGGCGCCGGCCGCACGTTGCTTCCTACATTCTGCTGCATCCAGACTGGCAGGATTTTGCACAACATCGCGCCGCCTGTCTACCCTGGCCGCGAGTGTTTGCACAAGAGCACTGACTCTGTGATGTACAAAACCAGCGGTGCCTGTGTAAATACTGACGCTCCCGCTCAGGGGCGAGCCCCCTTGCGCAAGAGGCCACTGTAGACAGCAATGTTAATTTATTGCGCAAGAAAGCCCGATGGCTAAAATGGCCATCGGAGTTTTCTTGTGCAAGAGAGTGTCTACACTGGCATGGATGCTTTTGCACAAAAGCAAATCTTTTGCGCAAAGCCACATGCCAGTATAGATACTCTCTTGCGCAAATACTTTTAATGAAAATATTTTCTGTTAGAAGTATTTGTGCAAAATCATGCCAGTCTAGATGCAGCCTCTGTATATATCCCAGTACAGACACCCCCTTCAGCATTTCTAAAGTAGCTACTTTAGCATGCGCTAGCTATGCACACCCTCACAACTCCCCTTTCTGTGGGCAGCAGTTTCTTTTTAGGAACCTGAAATAGAGTAACTGTAGCCTCACCTGGTCATAAAGTTTGAGGCCTGTGGAGATTATTAGTTGTTAGAAGAACAGTTGATTAATATATCAGCATGAGTGGCACTTGCTGCAGCTAACACATAAATGAAGTGTATTGTTCATGAGTCTACATTTATAGCTTCCTTTGGCCTGCAAGGCATGTTGGGACATTGAGGGGTGGGGCTTATGGCAGGATTTAAGCTGGGCCTCCAGGCACAGAGACTCATTCAGCTTTTAGTTGCTGCAAAAAGATGCAGATAGGCACTTGTATGGTCATGGTGAGTATAGATATTGTGTAACAGTTGGGTTTATTTTTGGTTCATATACTATTCTTCTGTTCTCATTTTTGTAATGTACTTTAATTTCATTTTAGCTTGTTTGTAGTGTGTTTGATGCTTGTATTTTCTCTGGGGGATGTTATGGGGGGGTTGTCTCTGCTAAACACACATAATTTAGTATTGATAGTATGTTTACAGTGTCAGACTGCTGTAGAAGCATAGGAGGCTTATAGATGGGTTAGGTGGGGGCTAATGTGAGAGTACTGTAATGGCGGTTCTTTTGCTAACTTCAGCTATACATTTTGTTATCTCTTCTGTCATGTTCAGCTGTTTAAAGCCCTGTGAGTAGAAAACTAGTAAATCAGGTTTGTAGTGAAGCTTTCTTTGCACTTCCAAATACCTTCCAATTTTGTATGGACTAGTATTCTCATTTTAGAGAAGTATGAATATTTTCTGTGGCTTTTCTTGTAGCACCATACATCTGCAAGTCAGTGTGACATGGGAACAAAGCCCCGACTATAGAGGAGAACGAGATATTGATGGGTAATTATCAAAGTTAAGTATCTGCTGAAGGATTTTATGGTCAGAAGAGTTATTGAGGTCGTGGCTTCTTGTTTACACACAGAAGCTCTCTAAACTGCAACCATTGCTAATGGAATACAAAAGTGCAGGTGGGAGGCCATTGTACAGAGGGACCATGCATTTCCTGTGGAAGAAACATTATTGCTGTGACAGTGACCCATCTGTAGCTAAAGATGATCCAGTCTCAGTTTCCCATCTCTTACACTGCACTAGGATTGCATAATTGGTCATGGCTACTTCCTTCTTCCATTCTCTACCAGGTGTTGGTTTTCTGCAGCGCATGTGAGCATCTTAGTTAATGATGGGCTCCTGTGGCAGTGAGAGGGAGGACAACCAGGTGTATGTAGAAGCATAGCCATTTTCTGTATCAACAAGCATTTGGGGGAGTGGGGATGCAATAGCAGGGCGAGGGGACTCTACTTTGTAGCGGATGTTTCCAGATGCGGATGGCAGTTATCTCATTCCACAGAGGATCGTGACCATTTCTTTGTTCATCTCGGAAGATGCTGTCGTACGTTGCCGACAGAGCGACGGCAACATACAGGAGCGAAAGCCTGCAAATAAAGGGAAAGAAGGTTATGCCAAAGTTAAGTTTGTCTTTAAGAATCAGACAGCGAGAGGTGTTTATAAGATTGAGATTTCTTTACATGCAGAAGGCTGCTAAAGGATTGAGAAAGCGGGCAGGAGGTCATTGTCTGGGGAAATATGCACATCTTCTGTACAAAGATGGCTTGCCAGGAGAGTGATCCACCCCCAACTAGAGATGCTCCATTCTCAGCTGTGCTGTTATACTGCACTGGGCTCACATGTCTGGTCACCGCTTTCTCCTTCTCTTGTCCTGTACTTGGTTGTGGTTTTTCTGAGGAGGATGTGAGCATCCTAGTTAATGAGGAGACCCTGTGGTAGCGGAAAAGGGGGAGGATTGCCAGTATGTAGAAGCATTAGTTATTTTCTGCATGGGTGAAAATATTTTTTTGTTTGGGAGGGCAGTCTGTGGGAGCGTAGTGCATAGCAGCTATTGCTTTTCTCAAGGAAGTAGCAGGTAGGCGAGGTCATATTTAAGGTTGGGAGCTTTGCGAGCAGTGTTTATAAATGGGATACCCAGTCAAGTTTTTGTTTGCATTGGCAGACACACACACGTCCAGTATGACGTCCGCCCCTTCCTCCGAGGGACGACTTCTGCATTCATCTGTCACAACGTCGTCCTCCATCGCTGAACGAGGGTCGTCGACGTAACGGAGCGATGGCCTGTAGACAAAAGAAAAGAAGACCTTGAGAGCAGGCGGGGTTGTCAAAGTTAAGTGTTTTCCCAAGAGCAACGGTACAGATGCTTCTGACTGTCCCGAAGTTCATTGTTTTAAGAACAGGAATCCTGTCACACCTGCCCATTTTCAAAAGGGTGTGGGGGAGAGGTCATTATACGGAGGATGTGTTTATTTCTCCTGAGAGAGGTTGATCGCCAGAAGAGCGAGCCACACAACTAGAGATGCTCCATTCTCTGCTGTCACGTTTTACACTGCAGTGGATTTGCATGACTGGTCACTGCTAGGTCTGTCTCTAGGTCTGTCTCTGGTTCTATACACGGTTGTAGTTTTCTGTGGAGATTGTGAGCATCGTAGTTAACGTGGGAAGGGCCACCCACGAAGTCAGTTGCATCTTTGTCGTAGGTATGAATGAGTCGAGGCTCTTTGGGCCATTGGATCGGTTATTTTAGCAAAGGGAGAGCAATAACATGGACTCTCCCATTTATGTGTCATGGGAGGATCAGAGAGCAGAGCTGAGGGAGCGAGCCACAGCGAATCAATCACATTGGGTCCATGTGGTTCCGGCAACGGCGATTTGGGCGGAAGCAGAGCAACTGGCAGCGATGTTGGCGTACATTGCCGACCAAGGGATGGTGACATACGGGAGCAAAAGCCTGCAGATGAAGGAAAAGAAGACCTTGAGAGTCGGAGGGGATGTCAAAGTTAAGTTTGTCTGTAAGAGTCAGTCTGTGTGAAGTCTTTATAAGATTGAGACTTCTTTTTTACAAGCAGGAGTCTGCTAAAGGGAGGCTATTGAGAAAGCGGGCAGGAGGTCATTGTCTGGGGAAATATGCACATCTTCTGTACAAAGATGGCTTGCCAGGAGAGTGATCCACCCCCAACTAGAGATGCTCCATTCTCAGCTGTGTCGTTACACTGAACTGGGCTCGCACGTCCTGTCACCACGATCTCCTTCTTGTGTCCTGTACTTGGTTGTGGTTTTCTGAGGAGGATGTGAGCATCCTAGGTAATGACGAGCCCCTGTGGTAACGGGGAAAGGGGGAGGATTGCCAGTGTATAGAATCATAGCTATTATTTTGCATGGGTGAAAATGTTTTTGTTTGGATGGGGTGGAGGGTGACCTCAGGGGAGCATAGTGTGTAGCAGCTGTTTCTCAAGGAAGTAGCAGGTAGGTGAGGTCATATTAAGGTCGGGAGCTTTGCGAGCAGTGTTTATAAATGGGATACCCAGTCAAGTTTTTGTTTGCATTTGCAGATGCGCACACGTCCGGTACAACGTCCACTCCTTCCTCCGAGGGACTGCTTCTGCATTCATCTGTCACAACGTCGTCCTACATCGCTGAACGAGGGTCGTCGATGTAACAGAGCGATGGCCTGTAGACAAAGGAAAAGAAGACCATGAGTGCAGGCAGGGTTGTCAAAGTTAAGTATTTTCCCAAGAGCAGGATGGTCAGAAGCATTTGTGCCAGTGAGGTTCATTGTTTAGGAACAAAAGTTCTGTTACATGTGCCTATTAAGAGGGCGGGGGGGGGGTCATTATATGGAGGATGTGTGCATGACTCCCAAGAGTGATGCGCACGTCACTAGAGATGCTCATTTGTCAGCTGTCACCTTTTACACTGCACTGGGTTTGCATGACCGGTCACCACTATCTCTGTCTTTGGTTCTATATGCAGATGTGAGCATCCTAGTTAGCAAGAGGCCCCAGTGGGGTGGGAAATGTGGAGGCTAAGTGCAGGAAGTGAGTTGCATCTCTGCCATAGGTAGGAACGAGTCGGCTCTTTGGGGCATCAGATTGTTTGCTAAAATAACCTGAGTGATAATGTAGCATCGTCGCTTTTAGAAATGTGGCATTTGTTGACGTGCCAGAGGAGGATTTGAGGGAGCGAGGCACAGCAAGTCCATCCCATTTGGTCCACACGGTTTGCGGCAACGGCGGTGCAAGCGTAACCGGTGGTGTCCATCAGGTAAGTCTAAGTTAGAGCTTTGAGTCCAACCTTGATGGGTATGTGGCCTCTGCTGCATTAGGTGAGGCAGAATAACTGTGAAAGGGTCCTTGGCTAATGACGTACGTTAACTCGGATGCTGTTTTTCCGCACCTGTCATTTCCTCGAAGGCGGCGTGTTATCGAAGACAGTTGCCCCTCGTTGGGTCATTAGCATGGTCGTCATCACATGCCCCCCCCCCCCCCCCAATGGATCATCGCAGACATGCAATATAGGAATGGAAATGCATTGGTATTATCGGAAGCATGGGAATAACAGCGAGGAGGGCCGTGTGGAATGTGTGCGAGGGAGGTGAAAGTTGCAATATTAGCATGGCGAGGGATCTTGTGATGTGTGGTTGCTGAAGTAGTTACATTTATGGAAATGGCATCTATTCTTCCCCCCCCTCCCCTCACCCTTAAGTAACTGGCTTACTAACTTTAGTGCATAGGCTACTTGTCACGTTAAGTTTTTGCTGTCGTCATAGGTTCTGGATGCAGAACTAATCTAATTTGGAAGAGCAGCAACAAAGTTGACGAGCTGGGGACTTTTTTTTTCCCCTCACAGAAGTGGATTCGATTTCACATTTGCAAGTTAAGTATGGCCATAGATGAGGGCGTTGGTTTTTGCTTGCCCTGCATTGCACTTGGGGAAACGCGGTTCACTGGGTGCATGTCACTGGGGAAATTCACATATACAACATAGCACATGGGCGTTTCGGAAGCAGAGGTTTGGATTTGTGCAGGCCTTAACTGAGCATTTTTTTTTATTTCCATAGGAAGCGTGCCATATCAGCACAAGCTGAAGATTTCTTCATGAGCGGAGAAGAGTTCTGCGTGACTTAGCCGGTTTTGAAGATGTAGAGTTTACATAGGGTTCAATTTAACACGTGCAAGTTAAGTATGGTCCTTGATCAGAGGCTGGATTTTTTGTTGTGCATGCTCTGTTTCACTTGAGCAATGTGGTTCACTGGGTGCATGTCACAGGGGAAATACTGCTGTGCTGTCCTGTAGTGTGTGTTGGAAGCTGAGGTAGTTTGCATTTGTTGCGTGGGCCTTAACCATGAGCATTCTTTTTTTTTTATTATTTCCATAGGGAGTGTTCCATGTCAGAGTGCTCTGAAGATTTCTCTGTGACCAGAGAAGAGTTTGGCTCGTCTCTGCCAGTTTGGAAGATGTAAAATTTGCATAGGATTTGCTTTCAGATTCTCTAGTTAAGTATGGTCCTCTATCAGGGGTTTTGTTTTGGGCTTTTTGTATTTCACTTGAAAGGTTTCACCAGGTGCATGTCACTGGGGCAGTTTACCTGTGCTACTATGTATATGGCCCTTTTGGAAGCTGGGGCAGTTTGTGGTCTTGTTGTACAGGCCTTAACTGTGAATCGTTTTTCATTTCCATAGGAAGTGTTCTCAATCACTACCATATGAAGATTTCTACATGGCCGGAGAAGAATGTGGCATGTCCTTGCCAGTTTGGAAGGTGTAGAGTTTGCATAGGATTGGCTTTCAGATTTGCAAGTTAAGTACAGTTTCAATCAGGGGTTTTGTTTTTGCATTTTGCTTTGGAAACGTATTTCACTGGGTGCATGTCACGGGAAATTCACCTGCACTACATTGTATAAGCATGTTTTGGAAGCTGAGGCAGTTTGAGTTTGTTGTATGGGCTTTAACTGAGACAAAGTAGTTCTTTCTCTAGGAAGTCTTCCGCAGTGGTGCGATCTGAAGATTTCTATGTGTCCAGAGAAGAATTTGGCATGCCTTTGTTTGTTTGGAAGATGTAGAGTTTGTATTTCACGCTTTGATTTGCAGTGTCCTCTTGTCTTGATGGCTAGTACCAAAGTTCTGAGGTGGTATTGTTAATACTTTCACAGTCCCAATCAGTAGATACATCAAGTCAGCGCTGGCACACATTTGGACCAGGTGCACCAGTACATCTCAGTCCTGCAAGGGATGCAGGAGACATTTTAACCCGAGGATGCAGGCAGGGGGGCACAGTTGCTTGCTGGATGAGTTTGTGCAGCAGCGCACTGCTATTTGCACTGCTACCCGGGAGGCCATGGCCTTCCCTGGTCCTGTGCCATGATTCTATCCTTTTTCAACTAGTTGGACTCCACAGATGACACACGCAGCAAAACCAATCAAAGGAGGAAAGAGGGCACCCTAAATTATTCAGCGTGTGTGCATTTTTGACCTTTTACTTGTTTGTAAGGTTGCTAGCTTTTTAATCTTTTATCCACTGTATTTCCGGTGAATTCTCAGAAGATTTCTTCCTCCTGAATTGTACCCAGTCCCAGGTACAGCTGCACCTCCTACCCATCCCCCTACTCTCCTAGCCCCTATGTGCAGCAAGCTCTGAGCAGGCCTCTGCAGTCAAGGTGGCAGGGGCTCATCATCCAGGTGGCACCCTCAGCCCTGAACCTCCCTTCCCAGTTGACATCCCCCTTCCCATCTGTGAGAGTTGGTAAGGGAAGCACTTTGTTAAACTTATTTTTCTGAACAAAAGCTTTATAGTTTTGGAAAGAACAGTGAAATAAACTCAACTTGTTTTCAACAATACCTGTCTGTTCTTAGTGTGAATGTGTACAACTTGAATGTGGGATAAGGAGGGGCTTTGGGCGGGGGCGGAGGCTCTGGGGACATGGGGCAACCCCTACATTTGGAAGGCCCTGGGGAAACTCATTGGGCTCCTTGGCAGAATCGCTCCCTCAGGGCTTTCTAAATGCACAATCCCACCTAGCGGGCTTGCTGGATGGCAGCTGTCTAGGGCTGCTCAAAATGCCTCCCCTCCACAGCACCCCCAGTCCCCCCATGCTGGGAGGAAAGCCTCTCCTTTCCTCTCAACTAGGTTGTGCAGCACACACAGCAACCACATCGGGGATGTTGTGTTCCCCCATGTCCAGCCGAGTGAGAAGGCATATAAACCTGCCCTTCAGATAGCCAAAGGTGCACTCTACCTCCAAGCAAGCCCCATTCAGGCAGGCATTAGAGTTCCCTGCTTGCATCCAGGTGTCCAACAAACAGCTTCATGAGCCAGGGCAAAAGGGGATACACCACGTCAGCCACGATGCACGTGGGCCTCTGCACATCCCCCAAGTATGGCATAGTTTCACTCTGGAAAGAATGACCCAGGCTGCAGTACAAGTATGAGTTCCAGAAGATACAGGGATCGTGTGTCTGGCCTGACCACCCAACGCAAATGTCTGTGAATTCTCCCTGGTGGTTGACCAGGGCCTGCGGCATCATAGAAAAGTAGCCCTCTCTGTTAATATACTGGGCTGCTCAATGGGGCTGTGCACAGATCGGGATGTGTGGCCCATCAAGTGCTCCACCACAGTCTGGAAATCCTAGCCCCGCAAATCCAGCCAGGATGGTATCCAGGTCTTGGAGGCGGACAGTCCTGTAAAGCAGCTCTGAGTTGATGTCCGTCACCAACTGCAGAAAGGGACAAATAGAAAGAGAGAAGACAGAGGAGTTGCATGACCTGATGAGAGGTGCTTCCTCACCCCTCCCTTACCAGACACCAAGAGCCCCTCCCCCACACCATGGCAGGGTGAAGCCAGGAGGACTTCTATTATCTCTCCGCCCCCCCCCCCATTCCCTCTGCCCAGTCCGGACTGTCCCCAGAGAGTGACTTATCTCTACCAAGACGGCCCCAACAGTAGACCTCTCCATGCCAAACTGGTGTCCTACAGAGCAGTAGCTGTCAGGGGTGGTCCGCTTTCAGAGGGCAATAGCGACCTGCTTCTCCAGGGAGCTGGCAGGCCTCAAGGGGTGTCCTGGCCTTGAGGGGCAGGGCGAGCCAGGCACACAGCTGGACTTCCCCATAAGGAAGTTTCCGCTCCAAGCCTGGTCATCCCACTGCTCCATAACAAGCCGGTCCCACCAGACTGAACTGGTGTCCAGCCTCCAACTCGCTTCTGCAGGAATAAGTTCGGCGGCAAGGGCAGTGGGGCTGCGGCCCGAGTGAGGTGCTCAAAGCTGGGCTCTGAATCCAGCTCTGCCACAAACATCATGATGGTCTCATGAAGATGCAGCAGAACTTCCAGCATCACAGTGTGGAGCCATCAGCCGCCCAGGGGCAGCTCAGGCTCCATGGCCAGAAACACAGTGAAAAGCAGAAAAAAACCCTGAAAATAAACTGCTGGGCTGTGTCTACACTGGCATGAATTTCCGGAAATGCTTAAAACGGAATACTATTCCGTTTTCAGTTTTTCCGGAAAAGGAGCGTCTACATTGGCAGGCTGCTTTTCCGGAAAAGCCCTTTTTCCGGAAAAGCGTCTGTGGCCAACTCCATGGCCAGAAACACAGTGAAAAGCAGAAAAAAACCCTGAAAATAAACTGCTGGGCTGTGTCTACACTGGCATGAATTTCCGGAAATGCTTAAAACGGAATACTATTCCGTTTTCAGTTTTTCCGGAAAAGGAGCGTCTACATTGGCAGGCTGCTTTTCCGGAAAAGCCCTTTTTCCGGAAAAGCGTCTGTGGCCAATGTAGACGTGCTTTTCC